GATTCTGTTTTGAAAATCGAGGTTTTGATTCTGAGCTTCCCACCGGTACTGGATATTTTCCAGAGAAACTGGAATGTAGAAACAACAAGTGTTTGTTCTTGCTTGTATTACGGCAATTTAGAACAATATTTCGATCTGTTAAACCTGTTTTTTTATTTTTAGAAATACACCCAAACCCTAATATTGTCGACAATTGAAATCTATCATAACTTATTCACTTCTTGGTTGATCAAGAGAATGTGACAACTAAAAATAGAAAATATTCAGAAAAGATCAAAACGAAACAAACTTTCATAATCAAGCTCTCACGTGATCATAGATTGCTTTCATGAACAACAAAGTTTTTCAATTCTGCCTTGTAATTGACTAGGTTGGGGTTGTTTTATATGGATCCTAAGTACATTCCAAAGGCATGGCACAAAAAAAAACCGAAACTGAAACGATCTATAGCCACATGTTACCAAACCGGGGCCTGGGTATCTCAAGCAAACACATAGTAGAATACCTAAGACAATTGGTAGAATAATCGGTTTCAAGATTTCGGTGACGGACCACACAGAAAGACACTTTCTGATTTGAGATATTCTTAATAGTTGAACGAATCTTGATTTCCACACAAGACCGGTTTGAGTCAATGGCAGATGTCTCTCAAAAATCACGCCTCGAATACGTACGTTATTACTGAGCAAATCGAACTGACACGGAGTGTATCAACATGGCGTTGCCTACGAATTTTCAAAATATCTGTTTTACCTGGAATTAGTGACAGAATATTTTTTTCGTATCCGGTTTTTCAAATCACAATTGCGGTCATATTGAGCTTATCTTCCGACAGACTTTCCACAACAGGTGTCCGTTTAAGGGACAACTGCGTGGCATCGGCGTGTGATGCGATACACCGAGCCGTTCAATAAATGCTCGATAATGGGAAACGTATACATGCAACTCACATATTTGCAAACTGGGGTACAACTTTAAGGGTAAGGCGACAGACCGTGACTGTGGGCTCTAAACGGCCGTTAACCTGAGCGCTGTACCGATTGGTTTCCCCATGAAGACTGGTTGTATATATAAACACATACACACACGGGTGGATTCGAACAAAGACGCGATACGCTCGTTATATAATATCATTGAAGCTTACAATTACAGGATTCTTGGAGACCACGTACACGACACTAATCTAATTACAATTGTCATGGCAACGAACGTGGTTGTGATTTGGCGCGCAGGTTGTCATCGTACCCGGACATCGAACACAGGACAGGAGATAATGTTTCTTTTCTCAACAATGCAAAACGCCTCACATTACACAACCGGTTGTTCAATAAACTCGATACCTGTTGCTGTATTGTTATAGTCTCATTTTTCACGTCTGAAATCAGTGAACCAGTTGAACCCAAAAAAACACCCTACATAGACAGTGTTTAAATAACGTGGAATCGGGCGCTCGCCCAATTTTGTAGTCTTTTTCCATGACATGTCTCTAGTGAACTTTTCACTTACACTTTTCTTCGATTTGTTCTTTAGATTTCGATTGCCCCGAGTCTTTTCATGATTCAACAATACCTGGAATCGTAAATAGGCGATGGCCCTTGGGTCTTGCACCATATACAAATGAGATTTAGTACGGGGCATCGACATGTTTCAGGGCCGCCAACAGAACAGAAGTTCCAAAAACGTTTAGTTCATTGCGGTGCATGCCTAAATCGCTTACGTAAGCATGAATAATTTAGAACAGAAACAAGTATACGATACCGCTAAAAATACTATTTCTGTACCTATGTTATGTGAGCGTATCTGTGTGTGACATTACACGTTTCTTTTCATTGTACCTGCTGCTGGTGACGTCAACAGCGTTCCAATTCACCTGTTCAGGGTTAATCTTATAAGACGCATCAAACCAAACCTCGATGTCGTTTTAAAAAAAACAACTCCCCCCTTTTTCATGAGGTCAGGGCCTTTGATATTTAATGCTTCGGTGCTTGCGCACTTCTGTCACATCTAAGCTGCGGGTGGTTGCGATTACAACTAA